CGGGCCGCGACCCCGCGCCGCCGCCGCCGCCGCCGCCTCACCTCCTCGGCGTGCTTGCGCAGCGCCTTCTCCCGCTCGTACTGGGTGATGAGCTGCTCGTTGTCGTCCCGCAGCAGCTCGAGCTCCACCTGGTGCTCCTGGTCCTGCGCGAACACCGAGTCCAGGTTCTCCAGCACCGCCACCACGAGTGGCATCAGCTCCTTGACCACCTCCTCGTCGTAGCGCCCGATGAGCCGCTCGAACTCGCGGTAGATGGAGCCGGCCAGGCCGGACACCCGCTCCGACATCACGGCCCCGGAGCCGCCGGGCTCCTCCTGGTACACCACACCGTCCTCCAGCTCCATGGTGGCGGGCGGCCCGGGGCGTCGCCGGCGGAGGGGCGGCACGGGCCGGCTCGGGACCGGCCGGGACCGGGACTGGGACCGGGGCTGGGCCCGGCAGGGTGGGGGCCGGGACCGGAGAAGGGGAGGGGTGGGGTGAGCACACTCACCCCAACCGCCGCTGCACCAACTGCCGGGGCGGCCGGGCCGCGCGCGCTACGCGTCACCCGTGGGGCGGGGCGGGCGCCGCGTCGGCCCGGTGGGCGGGGCCCCGCGGGAGGCCGGGAGCGGCCGGGGGCGGGGCTATGCGTCAGCGTGCACCAGCGGAGGAAGGCTGTGACGTCAACATCCGGCGCCGCGCGACCGGCGCGTCTCCAAGGAGAGAAGCTTGGCGCGGAAGGTGGGGAGAAGTGTCAGCCTCAGCCTCAACTTGTGAGGCGATCCCCAAGGAAAGGGAGGAGTTCTGGAAGGGGGACTCGCGGTCCAGGCGTGTCGTAGCCAACGTTTGCGTTACTTGTTTTTTTTTAACAGCTCGCAAAGCGCTGTCTTATTTAATCATCAACAATAGGCGAGCGATCGGCCCTTGATTCTCGGACAAAGGAAGTTGTGGCTGACTCAAGGTCACGCAGCGAGCCCTGGAGAACGGCTGATTTGGGCTCAAAGAAAAATGGAAAATAGCGGGGAGAGGCTCTGCCCGAGTGAACGGTGGTGCCAAGCAGAATAGTACCGTTTAGGTGGGGAGAACTAAGGGTTGCCTAAAGCAATCTGAAGAAGGGGAAAGCAGTAACGCCACTTCTTGCGTTTCCCCAAACTGTTTCTCTGCTCCCCGCCAGCTTGGGAGAGGCTTTTCCAGGCTCCAGCCACCGCCCTCTCCCCCGATTTATTACCCGCCTCCCCGTCTAGAAGGAGGCGGGGGAGTCAGTAGGAGAAATGGAGGGGGTGGAGTCAGACGACTGATTAAGTCCCGTGATTTATGAGGTCGCCGCCGCCAGCCGAGTCACGTGTGAGGAATGACAACACCCGGGCGCTGGACGAGCTGAGTCAAGGATCACTTCCCAGGGCTCTCCGTAGCATCCGCAAATGTGGCTGAGGGCACTCCCAGGAGCCCTTTTTTTTCTGCCACAAGTGACTAGCTAGCTGGCCCCAACTCCCGGGTGGGAAGGCAGGGCTTTAAAACAAAGAGTAAATGAATCAGCCGCCCTGGGGATCGTAAATACTCTCTCCATACGGTGTTTAAAAACCCAAGTCTGACCTTTCCAAGCATGGACTGGGAGCTAGATTATGCCTGTAACCCCAGCACTTGGGAGGCTGAAGCAGGAGGATCTCCATGAGTTTGAGGCCAGCTAGTGAGTTCATGGCTACACTGAAGTACATAGTGAGACCCTGTCTTAAAACAAAAAGAAAACGAACTGGGCCAGGGGTGAGGGTGCACTTCTATAATCCCACCAACCCCCAGCCTGAGCCAGAATGGCAAATTTTGACCCCAGCCTGAGCAATCTAGCCAGGCCCTGTCTCAGAATAAAAGGTGCTGCAGATGTACCTCAGCGCTCCCTCCGTGCTTCAATTCCCAGTCCAAGCGTTTGTGTGGGGTGAACTAGTTCCTCAAAGTTTCCTACCAATGACCCATCTGGAAAGCAACAAAAACTGGGCGAGCCCCCCGACAAACTCAGAAGGACAAGGATGCAGATAGGAAGTTTGAACGCCACAAGGACTGCGTGTGTTAGCCTCACCTCGAATCCTGAATCCGCCCTTGTGTTGTTTGTGTCTGGGTTACAGGAATGTGGGCGGGCTGGTTGGGTTGGAGCCTCCAAATGGCTTCTTAAACACCTTTGAAAACCGGGAAAAGTCTTGTCCCTTGTGACAGCAAACACCTGCCGGTAATCACATATTCTGGGAGGCAGAAGCCTGAAGCAGGAGTATCAAAAGTTCAAGCCCACCCTGTGCAATTTAGCAGGACTGTCTCAGAATAAAAATTAAGATAAACTGGGGATGTAGCTCAGTGATAGGGCGCTTAGCTAGCACAGAAGGCCCTAGGTTGAAGTCCCGGTGGCGTGGGATTCCTGGCTCTGACAGTCCTCTTTTTCGGAGTGCTATCACTCAGACTCCTTACTTTCCTGGCAGTCACAAGAACAGGAAAACTTAAGGCAATACTTTACTTCGTGTTTGCACAGTATTATCATACACATCAGGAACTTTAGAGGGGAAAAAAGATGATTTTCAGGTATGAAGTTATAATTAAGTTCATAATAAGTATCCTTGTTTAGGTGTAAGTCTTGACTGGAAGCTTCTGGTAGCTATTAGAACACATTTGTTTAAAATAAAAATTCAGGCTCAGTGGTGCATCACTTTGCATGAATGAGACCCTGAGTTCGTCCCAAGCACTGCAATAATAATTTAAATTAAACTAAATCTCCATCAACTGCTGGACAGTGAAATAAAATGTGAGGTATATGCATACAAAGAAGTTATCCAGGGCCAGTGAGCTAGCTCAGCGGACTAAGCGCCTGCTTTGGCAAGTGCAGGGACCAGGGTTCAATCCCCAATCCCACGTGGGGCACGCTGAACTGACAGACAATCTAGGTGGGCATGGTGGCACACATGCCTGTAATCCCAGGAGGATCACTAGGAATCCTAGCTGCTTAGTGAGACCCTGTACCAACTACATAAATGGAAAAAAAAAAAAAGCTATCCAGGGTCTAGGAAGATAGCTCAGTGGCATAAGTGCCTACCTGGCAAGTGCAAAGTCCTGAGTTCAATCCTGGGTACAAAAAAAGTTATTCAGCAGTGAAAAAAGTATGTGCACTTGGGAGGCTGAGGCAGGATACCTGCAAGTTTAAGACCAAACTGGGCTATAAAGTATGCTCAAGGCCAGTCTGAGCTATATAGAGATCCTGTCTCAAAAAGACAAAAAAAAAAAAAAAAAAAAAAAAAAAGAAAAATATGTGCTGCAATGTGAATGGACTTTGGAAATGTTCTGCTCAATGAAAGAAGAGCCTGGAAGGGCCTTGTATGGTGCCATGTGTATGAAATACCCAGAAAACCCAAGCCTATGGAGACACAAAGCGAATTAGCAGTTGCTTAGGTTTAGGGGGTACATGAGGGTGGCACGAGGGCAAGTGGACAGAAACACAAAGCACAGGAGAACTTGCTTCAGTGATCGTGGAAATTAAAGCCGAAGCAAGTGCACATATTTATAGGCAAACGCTTTCACTGAGAAGAAAGAAAATGGAAAGGGGCCTCCACCTGACAAGAAGCGGGCTGACAGAGATGGAATTGCCCCACCAACATGAGAATGGAGCTAGCTTTTTAAAAAAATGTATTTGGTTGTTACAGGGTCTCACTGCGCAGCTCAGACTCCTGGTGATCCTCTCATTTTCAGCCTCTCCAGCACTGCGATTACAGTGGTGCACCACCACGCCAGGACTCTGGCTGGCGTGGCATGTGGTGCTGGGGATCGAACCACAGTCCCTGCGCTTGCCTAAGCCTGCTGAAGCAGGCAGTTCAGTCTGCTGAGCTATCTCGCTGGCCCGGGTCTATCATTTAAAAGGATCACTGCAGAAGGTTAGGAGTCTGGTAATGTACTTTTCCATCTTTTGGAGAGGGTGGGGATTTGAGACAGCACCTCCCTTATGTGAATCACACCAGCATTCAACTCACTGTGTAGTCGAGGCTGGCCTTGAACTCATGGAGATCCTTCTGCCACAGCCTCCAGAGCCCTGGGGTAACAAGCGTGTGCCACCAGGCCTTACTAGAATCTGACAATTTTCGGCAGTCCCCTTACTGTTATAGCACACTTGGTCCTGGCAGTGACAGGGGCATGAAGGAGGGCACAATCCATACTCTGTTAGCGAGGAGGGATGGGGAAAGGACTCATTTTCCTTTTCATAGGTAGCAGGTCAGCTACTAAGGCCCAGGAATCCCCTTCTCTTGTCCACATGAAGGTCCCCCTTCTATTTCACAAGTGACTGCTGCCAGACAAGATAGTACACACCTGTAATTGCGGCCTCTGGTAGACTGAGGCAGCAGCATTACAAATTGGAACCCAGCCTGGGCAAGTTAGTGAGTTAGCATGACCACACCTCAAAAACAAACCTAAAATGGGCTAGGGAGGCATCTTGTGTGAGGCACTGGATTCACTCCATCCTGGTACAGAAAAAACAAAGTGATTGCTAATGGGTGTCAGATTCTTTTGGGGCCAATGAAAATGTTCTGATACTGAAGTAAATACACAACTTAGTATGCTAAAGTCATTAAATTTTACACTTGGAGTATCAGTAGAGCTATTAAAAATAAAGTTTAGGGCTGGGGACTGGCTCAGTGGTACAGCTCATGCCTTGCATGCACAAAGCCCTGGGTTCTACCCTCAGCACCTCAAAAAAGAAAAAGTTTACAGAGGGGTCAGGGATATAGCTCTGCAGCTTAAGCACCTGCCTGGCAAGCCCACTGTCCTAAGTTTGATCCCTGCCTGGTACAAAAAAACCAACCAAACAAAAATATATTCAATAGAAAGTTTATGGGAAGGGCTGGGGAGATGGCTCAGTGGAATAAGTGCTTCCCTGGCAAACACAAGGGCCTGAGTTCAATCCCTGGTTCCACAAAAAAAGAAAGAAAAAAGAAAGTTTATGGGTATACTGACTTTAGACTCAGCGGATGAAGGTAAGCTTGCAGCCAGGTGTGGTCACGCACACCTGTAATCCCAGCAGTAGGGAGGCTGAGGCAGGAAGACCACGGAGAGTTTGAAGACAGCCTGAACTATATAGTAATACCTTGTCTCAAATAATAAGAGTAATAATAATTAGTAATAATAATGAATCTTGTGTTCTAGGATGAACTGGTCATTTTAAAAATTAATTTATTGTCTTTTTGAGGCAGGGTCTCACTATGCAGCTCAGGCTGGCCTTTGGCTCACCTTGTAGCTCAGGCTGGTCTCAAATTTGCAATGATACTCCTGCCTCAGCCTTCTGAGTGCTGCTGAGATCACAGGCATGTGCCACCACACCCGCTGAACTGGCCATTTTCAACAATGAAGGCCAGAAGTATAAATGGTTACTGCATACCTAGTGGCACTTCAGTGAAGATCGTGAGCCTTTGTTCTTTCAGCTGCATACAGGGGGAGTTGGTTAGACTCTGAAGGCTTCCTCGCACTCAAATCCTGATTCTTATCAGAGGTGGGAGCAACATGGAGG